CAGGTCATGACCTCAAGATCTCATGAGATTAAGTCCCATGTCTTAAGTATGGAGCCTGCTTAAGATTCTCTTTCTCTCTCTGCCCCTTCACCCCTCTAAAAAAATAAATAAAAGTATTATACTAATCAGAAAGGCCGGCCCTGGTCAAAGGTGGGAAGTAAAAGTCCTTTGTGTTTGGATACTTTTTCAAGCTTTCTCTCAGTACTTCTCACTTCTTGCTATCAAGAGAAAGACGTCTGTTTGTGGTTCTACCCTATTGGTCATTGACTTTGTCTCTCCAGCCAAAGAATTCACATATGTTCCATTTCTGGGGAGAGTCCTGCCCACCCTATCAATAAGAATGAGTATCTAGTAGAGTATTTGTTGGCCAATTCTGCAATTCTCTCTGTGGCGTAGTAAACGTTTTTAGCCAGTTTAATTAGCCCTAAGGTACAATGACTCATTTTGACAATGCAGACAATATTTCCAGAGGACTTTGAGTGCCTGCTACTGGGGGGGAGGGGCTGTTCTTCAGAAATGCTAGGCCCCTCACCTTGATCACATTGTGTTCTGGAAGAAAAGTAGTGCAGGAAAAGAAAAAGAACAGCATACCTTAGAAGCCGTGGCCAGTGGCATCAAAGAGAGCCATTGTCACTGTATCAGAAATCAGTATAAGTATTTTTAATATTACCTTTAGTGATAATGTGGTTACCTGTGATGCTCAGGGTAAGCATGGGTTATGTGTTACCTCAAAGACACAGGGAAAGTCCACTTCTACTTCTTTCCCAGGTACTTCCTCTCCTTCCTACTACACTCTACCACAGAGATCCCAGTGAGATTCACTGGCTTTTTCAGAGCCTTAGAAGGTACTTAATAATATCCATGTAAGCAGAAACTGTCAATTGTCCCCCAATAATTAATTCTCCTCTTTTAATATGGTAGAAGGAAATTAAAATAGGGCCACAACCTCCCAGCTAGAACCCAAGTGCCCCGGCCTGCCTTATAGCCACTTTTGGACAATGAGCTGCCACTGACATATGTGAGTTCCAGGTTGTGTTCACAAGATAAATATGGCTAACAGGAAGGAGAAAAGGAGAAGTTAGCTCCACCAGCTAAACCTGAGGTTTCCCTATGACTAGCCTAGATGGGCCCTCTGACACTCTCTCAAACTCTGTTCAAAGTGAACCCCAAATTAGACAAACTCAGATTCTGAGCATTCAGGAACGATGGTCCTGAATGTGCCACAAGCAGACACCTGCACACAGTAATTTCTTCTGTAGAGATGAGCATGTAAATCAGAGGCCATGACCATGAAAGGGTAGGTGGGTAATATTGAGTTTATTTTGAGGTAAGGGAATGAAGAATATTAGAAAAGCGAAGCAAGGTGCATATGATAGAATGGGTTGCAGAGGCAATGTAACTGAAGTCACATGATGGCCAAAGCCTTGCTATTATTTCTTGGTAGTTGCCGATGATTGTAGACAATAATATCAAGAGTTATTTATAGACAACTTTTCTCAACCCCAAATGAGAGATGGTCTCCCAATCCTACTTGAAGGGAACTATCAAGCTAATTAAATTTTGGACTAAAAGAAAAAAAATTATTAGCTGAAATAACACAGCACTTAATGATGCATCAAGTAAATCACAGGAAATCCTCAAGATATAAAGGTTAGAATTAATGTATTCTAAATGTCTTATAGAGTTAGTTCACTTAATATATAATATAAGATCAGTGTCAATATTGCCCTAGTTGGTTAGATGGGGAAACAGAACCAGAGAGATTACAGTCACAGTAAATGGCAGAGATGAGACAGTAATCCAGGCGGTCTGGCTCTAGAGTCCCTGGTCCTAACCACTCTGCCACTACCTTTCCAAGAAACACAGCAAAAAAATGATTTAATTTGATTATGAATGCCTGTAAACATTTTTCCTTCAACAATTCAGAACTCTTAAGTAAAGACGAAATTCACAAATACTAAAAATTAGGTGGGAAAGCCCCAGTGAAGCAAGATAAATGGTATCTGACTTCAAGATTGCAATAGAGGAAATTTTGATAGCATGAGAAAGGAAGCAACAATTAATTAAAGAGCTCCTTGGAGTTAGAAAAGTCTATTCAAGGCTCTTCTCAGCACAGCGGGTAAAGTTTTTATGCTTTAATCCAGGAAGTCCTTTAGCTGCAGAATGTTTTCCTAGAATTTATATAAAAGGTACTCATATTTTGTGGAAGGCGTTTTTGTAATAACAATACAGGCATTTAGCAGAAGACAGAACTCTGCCTCTAGCATACCAGGTACACATTTCAGTAGGAACAAAGAGAGCCATAGAAATAAGCCTGATAAAGAAGCTGTGTTACAAAACAGGAACCTCAAAAAATGGTAAATAGGTGCAGAGCATTTTCTGCCCTGTTTTTGCTCTGATCCAAGGATATGGCCAGTTCTTGGTGAAGTGACAATCTGAATGGGATGTGGGGTATGGGACCATGGACCAAATGGACTTAGCACAATGAAGGAGAAAGGACACAGACAAGAGCCGAGGGGAGACTCAGATCTAACAATCACGTTCTTGATGGAGCCAAACTCCATCAGAAAGTGTCTACTGGTACTAGACCATATTAGGATTTTTTTTTTGTAACAATAAGCAGTGGTCAGTCAAAGATTTCCTACCGCCTTCATTTCAGATCATATTAATGCCAAGTAGTATGCAGACATTAATTGCAATACTCCTGCCGGCTTGAAGATGGAATCCTTGGTTGATCCTCAACTTAACAAGTGGTCCAAAGCCTTGCAGCTGGAGCTGCTCCTGGTGATGCATTTCCACTTGCAGCTTAGGTCTTCCCAGTATAGTCTGCCCATCTGCCCATGAAGAGAAGGTACTGACACCTTTATTACTTTCATCAGGGCAGAATTCAAAATTATAGCCAGATACCAAGGGGCAGAGCTCCTTCAGTTGTTTCAAGAAACACAAAAAGCAAGCAAACATAATTTTATTATAAAGGACGACCTTAAGCAAGAAATTTGTAGAGAATATAACATATTTTCCAACTTTATGATAGATGTTGCCTCATTCCTGGGAAGAGGCACACAGATCTCATATTGCTTTTAAGTGAAGTGGAAAAAAAATCTACAAGGATTAAAGAAAAACTAAATTATAAATTAAAAAAATGAAAAATTTAAGCATTTTGAACTGTACCAATGTAATGAATTCAGTAATTAAGCAAATCACAGGAAATCCCCAAGATAAATAGGTTAAAATTGATGTGGTTTTAAGGAATGGAGCCATCAGCTATCTGGAAGAACAAATCTCACCAAACATTTATCTCAACCTATATCTTAAATTTAATATAAGTAATGCTTCAATCTGCTTTATAATATGCCTGGTTGGCACTTTGTCTGAGGCTTTCCATTTCATTTCCCAAATAATTTTATTCTCTATTGTTGGGGTCAACTGTATTGTGTATTTTATTTATTCTTATTTTAGTTTTAAAAACTCAACTATTTTAAATGATAGTATTAACACTTATTTCCCATTTAACTGAATTTTGTGGGGGCTGTTGGTGGAAATAATAATTAGCAAAAACACTACTGACATTTATTAGCTTTTATTACATGCACTTGTTATATCAGGCCCTTCACCCATATTATTGCACTTAGAGTCTTCACAATAGGCCCACATTTTAGGTACAACTATTATCTCTATCTTACAAATGAGGAAACCAAGGATGAGAGAGAGTAAGAAACTTGACCGAGGTCACACAGTAAGTGGCAGAGTCAGTAAATGAACCCAGTCCTAACCTTCCAGTCTGGTTTTCGAAACACATTGAGAGGCAATACAAGTTGTACCCCACTCCCAGTGTGCTATAGCTCTGAAAATTCTTTTCCTCCACTTCACAGAGGATAGTTTATGTGCTCTTCAAATTGGTATGAATTTTATTTAATATTTGACTCCAGTTATAAGCTGTGTGATTTTGGGTGTCTGATGGAAAATGAAAAACCCCACCAGTCATCTAAGCACCTCATCAACGTAGTACCAAATTACTTGCACACACAGAAATGCTTAGGTGACTGGGGATTTTTATTCTGAACCTGGTTGTGTGCCATCCTAGCATCATGAATACACATTCCAAATCACACAGTTCCAGAACTTACAATGACATTCTAGAGGATTTCGGTCACCATATTTTCCGATTTAAAAACCACAGCACATACACACTGATTGGAGTATGTGTGTTTGTGGGGACAACAAGGCTGAATGTTAGAATTCAGACCTGAGAAAATCAGAAATTTCTGCTTGCTATTTAGTCTTTCCAATAGATGGGCCCCTGTGTCGATGTAAGGGAGTAAATGGACTCAGCAGAAGAAAGACATTGCTTTTTGCCTACATAAAATCTTTGCAGAGGTGGCCACGCATCATCTATGCAGACCTCAAGCTGTTTTCTGTGCCACATGACACCTAAGTAGGAACCATTTCCTTTCAGTCTAATAGAAACAATGACAGAATGCTCGGATCCTAGATCTCTAAGCTTTTTTCTCATTCAGTATTCTCCAGGCACACACCCCACTGAGGAATAGCACAATTCTATTTAGTGACATTATTCAAGAGTAACCACAGAGTCCGGTGTAATCCCAGGTGTCTAACACTCACCCTGTTGAACACTACAGCACTCTCCTTGCTTCCATCTCAAAAAGACAAGCTAATCAGTTATCATCAGGATGGCATTCAGAGCATTTTTGCTCCAGGTAGTGATACATTGGTACCTTATGTATAATGTCCGCCCAATTCTCTTTCCTTACTGTCAGAATATGTTATTAAGAAGATCAGCCAAGCCATGACTTGAAAATCATGTTCTTATCCGGTTGATGTTCTAGAATGTGCTCAGTGAGAGAATCTTACCATATGGTTTTATCTACCACTATCCACTTGACATAAAAGAACACATCCTACTAACATTGCAAGCAAAAACATGTCCTCCAACACACCCTGGGAAATAAAACAAGAGACTATCTACGTAAGGGCCTTACCGTTGATACTCCAGATGGCCAGATGTGGGATTAGGACAAACACCCAAAAGAGTTTCCCAATTCCAAGCATGCCAGGTGACGTCTTCATTTCTTGTGCATATCAGGGATGGAATATCTTCACATGTAGAAGACTTCCCTTCCTCCCTTAAATTCTTCAGGATTGAACCACGTTACCTACCTCAGTGACATCTGTGAAATAAATAGAGAAGAGCACGGAGGAGGTAGGAAGAGCCTGAATGGCTTGTGAAACAAAGTGAACAGAAAGACGTGTACTCTATTCTGTGGTTTTGCTTCTTGTCAAATCGGCTGTTCACTTTCAAGCACTGTAATGTGCAAAGCGGCTCAGTCCTTAACTTCTCCTTCCGCTTTACCACATTTTTTTTTGCCCCACATTGAGGTTTTTCTTAGTCAAAGTTCAGTGACATGAAAAATCACACTCTAAAGCAATCTATATTGCTGCAATCTTTAGGTTGAGATTTTAGTCAAATTAAGGGCAGGGAACTCATGGCCAAAAGTACCTATGGTAAGTATACCTTTTTCCCCCTTTTCATAGCTTGAGATTATGAAACTTCTTTTATGTGAAAGCTTTTAGATTTTTCTTCCTAAACATCGTGTCATGGCAAGATGAGAATGCTTATTGTCATTATACCAGTGATTTATCTGAGGTTATGGAGAATATGAGTGACAGGAAGCACTTCCTCAACAGATGAGGGAAGGACAAGTGTCTTTAATCTGTAGATAGATATCAATGGAACAAGATCATAGGTAATATTAGCTACATGTTCTCTCTAAATAATAAAGTTCCGAGCTAAATGACATCTTGAATATCAATTAAAGGAAACTTTCATTTTCAACATTCTTCATGTGGTTATTGTCTGGAGGAAGAGAAGAGAAACAATAAAAGGAAGAAATGGAAAAGTTCAAGATCAGCTACCTCAGGGTCAAGATGAGACTGTTTTCTCCATGGCCACTTATAATAATTAGTTGTGCTTCTAATTATAGGAGCTAATTAAATTCACCCATATGAGATTCCACAAATGAAAAATCTAGATTTGTGACATCTGTGGTCATTGACAGAAGCTGATTTTGTAAGTCTTTCTCCCAGAGGCTGGTGATTTTCTTCCAAGGCCAAACTTCAATGGCTTTTAAGGACATAAGTTTAAAAAAGTTATCATTGTATTTATTGATTCAAACAGACATTGTGTGGTGGTTAGGGGCACCAAGATGAATGATTTTAAAAAGCTCAGTGAACCAGTACTGTAATCTCCTCATATCTGTCATTAGTGTTGGAACTGAAATATGTGTGTATTTCAGCCACTACAGTTTAACATAGAGCTACTGTACCCATCCTAGAACATCCATTACTTACTGAATAAACATCCTGTGAAATATTTATCCAGGATTTATATAACTTTCTTTCCCGTGCTCAAGGTGGAATGCAAATTTCCTGTGGCAGCCAATGCAAGACTCATTATCCCTTTAAAATGGTCCCAGAAGTCAACAGTCATACCATAGGCAAGGATCCCAGGATATTGTCCCAAACCAGGGACAAGTCATATATACTTTATTTATCTTAGCATAAAATCTTTTTGATGTACTATTCTAAAGATTTTTTTTCATATAAAAAAGTCCCTGCTAATGAAATAAAATTTGGAAAAAACCTTATGTCACATCTAGTTTATTTTTTAAGATATCTGTTTTGTTCCTTTTTTCAGCATGACTGGCTCTTATCCCTCCATAAATGGAGTCCTGAGAGGCCTACTGTAGATAGAACCCTCCCTCAGAATCTGACTCCTGTCTTCATTCTAGTAAAAAAAAATGAAAGAAGTCTGGCTCCAAAGTTTGTTAGCTTAACTACAAGTTAATTGTGGCTTTAAATTTCTACCTCATCTAGTAATTACATTTCTATCCTGACCCTTGTCCCATTATAATCATGTACTATTTGATTAAAAAATTATACTTTTTATGTAAATGTGCAAATTTAAAGGGTTTACTACATTTTCAAAAGTGATTGAAATGATTTTATTATCTTTTATTCTTATTTTTTAATAAATGACTTTTCCTTTTAAAAAAAAAAGATTTTTTTTAATTTATTTGAGGAAGAGAGTGAGAGACATACAAACCCAAGCAAGGAGAGGGGCAGAGAGAGGGAGACCCAGACTTTCTATTGGGCAGGGAGCCCAACACAGTGCTCTATCCCAGGACCGTGGGATCATGACCTGAGTGGAAGGCAGATGCCTAAGCGACTGAGCCACACAGGCACCCACTTAAGAATAATTTTAAAAACATGAATCTGTCTCTAATTTTATTGTGAAAGACAAAAAGCAAAGAAGAATTTGGATTCTTGACATTCATTTCTAAACATCTTAGGAGCTACATACAGAGCAAATTCTTCAGTTAACTTACAGTTTCAGTTGCTTTCATGAATCACGAAGCAACTATACTTTCTCCAATATTTTTACTTCAAGGGGGTCAGAGAAATATAAACACAAAACAGATGCAGGACCCTAAAGAGGGCTTACCACTGACATTAGACAACATCAACCCAGAGGGATGAATCTTGGCTTTAATATTTTTAGCACCCCAAAAACATTGCAAAGCTTCTGCCACAAATGTAGTCCAGCATTTAAAGCCCTTTCCGATCATCTCTTTGGTGCCCTTTCCTCACAATCACAATAGCAATGATTTCCAAATATGCTCATACTTTAGAATCAGTCTGGACACCTTTTACACTGGATGGGATTGCCGGATCCCAACGACGTCCATTGAATTAGAATGTTACAGGATTGGGATCCCTGGGTGGCGCAGCAGTTTGGCGCCTGCCTTTGGCCCAGGGCGCGATCCTGGAGACCCGGGATCGAATCCCACGTCGGGCTCCCGGTGCATGGAGCCTGCTTCTCCCTCTGCCTGTGTCTCTGCCTCTCTCTCTCTCTCTCTGACTATCATAAATAAAAAAAAAATTAGAATCTCACAGGTGTGAGAGCACATATCTCTATTTTAAAGAAATCTCCCAAAGTGATTCTGATAGCTGATTTGAATGGATGTTTGGAAACCAAGCATGAATTGATGGGAGACATGGATTTTGAGCCACCAAAGACTTGGTACCAAATCTTTACTGTTTAATAGCTGTGGAATCTTTAATAAATTCCTGGGTTCTTAGAGCCTGTAGTAGACACAGAGACATACCACTTGGATACCCCTTCAAGGATAGATTTGCTCTTGGCTATGGAGAATGTAGTCAGCAGATAGCTTCCAGGTGTAAACTTCTTTAGCGACTGTCCAGTTGAGACTCACTTTGTCCAAGGTCATACTTTTCATTGACAGCCTGCATCCAGTGATGGAGCAAGGAAAATGTATAAAATGCTGGCCATCTGGGTCTCCCTTGGGAAGCTGATGGGCAATAGTTGACCCAAAGCTCCTGGTTGTCAGCCAAGGTTATGTCAGGCCTATATCACAGTTTGACTTCTTCCTCTTGCTCAATCTTGCTTCTGCCCCCCTTACTTTCACAGGTGCTGATTGCTAATCTATCTTAATGTCTGCTTCCAGAGAACCAAATCTGTTCCACATATCAATTTCCTGTTCTGTAGAACACTGATGATATTAACATCTACTTGTTATGTTGGTGAAATGAGATAATGTATGCAAAGTGATCAGTAAATTGTATCTATAATTATTCCTGAACCAAAGATGGGCTTTAATTTGGACAAGATGGATACCAGGATGCCCTATGTTAATAAGCCAGAAAATAATGGTGGAGCCATTTGAATATGTTCATTTGCTAATGTGAGTTATTGCTGCATGGAGATTGAGACTCTGAATAAATGTCGTAACAAAGCTTTGATTAGCAAAGAAATGTAGCAGATTAAAGATGGTCTGAATTCCCTCCTGAATTTACAAGGATGGATCAACCATGCAGGAAAGCCTCAGAAGTAAAGGGCAGAAAGAATTAGAAGTCTGAGGGCAGAGGATGTAAAGACAGGCCCTTATTGGGAAAACGCTCTAAGCATCCAAAAGACTGGAAGGGGCCAAAGCAATGGTACTGTCACAGCAGAACTAGAGGAGGGTTGGACAGGTAACCAAGGCAAGGGCCACTCACTGAAACTAGAATACAGAAAGGTTCAGTCATTCCTCACACCCCAAGATAGGCAAAAAGGCCAACATGATACTGAGCCTTTCCCCTTTGCTCCTTAAGAGTATCCCTTTGATGAGAGGATTGGTCCTGCACTGTGAGGTGGATAGGGTTGACCCAAAACACGATATAAAATACCCTTAGCTGCAGAACTTAAAAGACCGAAGATGTTTTGGGGGAAAAAAGAAATTAAAACGTATGTACTGAGAAGGTCCAAGAATGCCCTTCTCCTTTTTCTTCCCTCCTGGCAGACGTGGATGTATTCTGGTCCTATCATTTACTAGATGTGTGACTTCAGGGAAGCTATTTAACTCTGAATCTATTACCTCTTTGAATAACAACTACCTGAAAGGTTGTTATGAGTATTCAATAAGGGATTTAAATAGTATTATATATTTTAAGTTAGAATGCATGAAACCACCTACCACAGTGCCTGGCACAGAACTAGGATCCTGACAAATGCATTTTCCTTTCTTTATCTCACTCAGACAGAAAAATATGGTGTTCCTATGTCTTGTTTATTGGTATCTTTGTAGACTGGACAGAGAGAGAAAGTTGACTTCTCTTATATCCTATGCACCTGTGTGTAATACATTTGTATGTGCTTATAGTGCTTATTTGTACTATATTTTTGTGCTATTGTGTATGCTTGTCTCATAGCTTCCTCATGAAACCAACTTGTGGATGCATCATGGCTTTGCAAATTGTTTTATCTTTTACTTTTGTGGATGTGTATATGCTTTGATGTGCCTGCAGCTTCAGATCTCAACAAAATACTAGAGTCTGAAACCATTAACTAGCTCTTCCAGGAGGAATTTGGGGTACTATCTGGAAAAGAAGGGTGGCACACCTTATAGATTTCCAACTATAAGTAGTGTAATGGGCCAGGAGCCCCAGGTTCTGCATGCCAAAATCCATTACCCCATTTGTGCCATGGGGCCATCCTTTTCAGCCAGTGACTGAAGACAATGGATATTCCAGGGC